ACAGAACTTACATAATTTGCTCCAAAATGAAACAGTGTGTGTGTGTAAATTGGTTGCATCTTATCAACACTCAATTATTGTGGTTGCGATTTCAGATTGACCAAAGTGTATGACCACGAGAAGAACAATCAGCTTTTGTAGGTGTGAGATGAAATGTGACATTTTGCAGGGCTGTAGCGGTTGGGGACAACATCCAGCAGCAGAGAGATAATGTCTGACGATGCAATAGTAAATGCAAGCGTGCATCCAAAATGTGTTCTACCATGGCATGCAGTGTACATTCATCTCAATGAACACATAATGGAAATTCTGTACTGTGAATGAATTAGAATGTTGTTTTGATGAGAGCATTTAATCTCCAATTGTCGGGTGCCCAATGTTACTAAAACAAACCTGATTCAAAACCCCTACAAGCATCCACCACTCCGACTAAGTAATAATTTAACAAATATTTAGTTTATTTTCATGATCTCCTTCTACTAACCCCCACCCACCCTCTTATTTACAAATCTATGGATGCATATGCACTGGGACACTTTGTATATGCCATTGCATTGGTAACGCCGACTCACCAAGCGAGTCGGAGCCTCCGGGCATTACCAACGGCACCATGGGGCTAAATTACTATTCTCTTGCAAGAATGGCTTTCATTACTGATTTTCACAACAACAGTTGACGGGCTTGATTATCGGCTTGGGTGGGGCTTGCCAGCAAGTTGCTCAGCACCCACCCCAACTTATTTAAAAAAATCACCTTAATTTCAGTACTTGGAAGTTGAACCCAAAAGGCATAGTGACCTCAATACCACAGAGTATGCAATCCAAGCTTATAACTGCAGAAATCTGACCTGAATATGACCAATTCAGCACTCACATTTAAGTTAGCTGCGCACAGGTTTGTGTGTGTGTGTGAGAGTGAGTCACTTATAGACGTTAACAAAAGAAATGCCAATTTGGTGAGCAATGTGTTTGCACGCTATGAGCAGAAGTGCCTTGCAATATGCCATCACTTGTGTGAGGCCAGAGCAATTCAGGTACAAACAAGTAAAATGAAACTGCCACACGAGTGAGTCACCATCAGCCAGATCTCTCAAGTCTGAAGCCAGCATGTGGCCCCCTAAGTTAAACAACAGCCACACACACAGCTCCCTTGCCTCCAACCGCTTTGCTTTGTCATTCAAGCACAGAAAACTCTGAAAAAATGATAGCCTATCGCACCAGCATGATACTCCGAAAATAGTCTGGAATAAAGTTACAAAGTACTGTACTGATCTTTTTTGCCTTCTAGTTTTTCTTTTGTAATGGTCAAACACATAACCGAACACTTTTTGTTTTACTAGTGCAGAAATTATTATTGTTAAAGCTTTAATGTTGGGTGAACTCGGTTGACACGTGTCCATAATTGCTTAGGTGTGTTGTTATTAAGAAAATGTCAACTTTGGAGATACGCTATTTACAAATGTTAGATTTAAGTGGTGTCTAAGTAAATGTACTCGTTATATAGGTCGGGATGTCACACGACCCCTCAATCCTGGCACGTGTTTTTGACACGAGTCACGTCGTTGTAGCACTGGCGAAACAGTGGGCACAATTCGACTTCCTCGTGTGCTCTGCCTTCCTCAAAGGCCACATGCTAAGTACCCGCTAATGCACCTCGTGTTCACTGTTAGGCAACATTGGGATTGACACATCCCTTGGAAGATTACTGTAAATGTAGTTCATGTTATGTAAAAGGCATGCTGCTATATTCGAGTGGCTGGGTGTTCATTCAGGACAGACTTTGTGCAACGGCAGAGCTCACGTGAAGTTAGCATAACTTATTTTTAAACTCACCTCCGACTTCACTTAACAGCCTTATAATGTCAACATACAAAAAGGCTGACGTTTTAGGAAATGACCCATTTTCAGAGGCAGTTTAACAGCCACGTACTGTATTTGTAAAATCACTACAGTATCTTAAAAAAAGTATTTACATATAGTAGGAAAGAAAGGCTTATGTACTAATCACGGATAGGGTTTTGGTTAAGTAGACATCTAAAAATAGTTAAAGATTTAGAGCGAAGTTTATTACAATCGGTAAAGTCCGTGTCCTGCTGCAGCCTATCGCAGGCGTTCTCTTCCAAGTCACTGTTTCTTGACTTGATATGCATAATAAAGATAAGTGATATGAGCAGCAAAACTAATCATTGCCTTCCCACACTTCCACCAACGTCGTCACAAACATCTGCGTTTTTATGAATGTCCACGCTCTTAAGAGGATGCTCATTCATTCACTCATCCGGGATGCTGCTGCGTTTAGCAGGGACAGCCTTGCATCCATTGTACAATGAATCATAATTTTAATTTCTATATCTAAATGTGTCAGTTTAACACGTAGGCTTTCGCGACCAATATTGTTCATAATAAAGGTTTTTGGGTTAGATCGCGTTTATTTATAAATGTGTCGTAACCCTCCACCACCCGACACGGCCAATCAGCAAAAAAAGTGTCACGTTGACAAAAGACAAATAATTCACTACTTTAGCACACCGGTGTGTTGAAGAGTGAATCCACAACATTTACAGTTTGAGTACGACGTTTCGCTGGAAAATACATCCAGCATCATCGGGCAATTCGCCAAAATGTGTGCCGCACGGAATCTGGAAGCGCGTTCAAATAGGTTTAACTTGCACCAAATGCGCACAAATCTATCAACATAAATACATGACTGCACAAAAGGCGTGCAAATAAATATTGTGCTATAATAACACACATTCAATTATCCGCCTGTTTCCTAATACAGTTGACGAGTAATAGTTCATAGCTCTTTTTTAAAAGTAAGCCTTAAATTTGTTCTCGAATTAAATTACTGGCTGCCCAATCTTAATTCGGTGTTCTACAAATGAACCGCATGATGCTTTGTTTGCACAGTTTTAGTGCAATCGCTTCTGTTCGTTACCACCGTACATTTTATTGTTGCTACTGTATGCACCGTATCCTGTATTATGTTGTGTATTGTAGTTGTGTTGGTTATCATTATGTACATTTCTTTGATATGATTCCGAGCGTATATATCTTAGGATATCCGAATTTGCCTGATTGGAACCAATGTCCTTCCTACCTTTCCAGGATAAAAACATTTTGGGCGTTCTTCTTCTTCTTCTCCTCCTCCTCGGCCGGTCAAAACATAACGAACACTTGCACGCTTACGGCACGGGACACTTGCACGCCAATATAAACAGGGATTATGAGACAATGCGATCTGCGACCGCTTCATGCAGTGTCTTTGCGTGTGTACGCGCACAACAGGGGCTGGAGCGGCAGTGCAGCTGTTACCGCACGGCGCTACAAACCTTGGCCACCTGAGTTCGACTCGAGATGCAGGACGCGACATCAATGGGAATCTGGACGGTGTCAGCAAGTCGTCGCATCAGATCTGAATGGCAACCATCAGCGGAACACCATTCTGCCTCTTCCGCGTATAGATGAGATGCGTTTAGTACATCAGCCCATCGTCTTTCTCGGCCAATTATCATCAAGCAGTACTCCTAGACTGGTTTCGATCTCGTCCTGGGTCCCATCAGCAGAGTCATGGTTATTGATCAAATGTTGCTGGATTTCCATATGCTATTCGGCAAGAGCACTCCATATAACAAATACAGCCATGCTTCTCCACGGCGACGCGGAGTTTTGTGAACGTTTTATACATTGCCTTGCATTCGTCGAATTTTACTTGTTTTCGTCATTGGTACATACCTTCATCAGGTACATTCTGGTCATGGTCAGTTATTTTTCGTACTTTTTTATGCGAACACTTTTTTTTAATTCCCACTCCAGGCCAGCACCAGTGACGATTGTCTGAACCGGTCCTGGGCCTCACCTAGGTCGACTCAGCCACACAATAAGTACCTGGTGCGGTGTGTAAATATCACCACTAGGGAGACAAAGGCATCCATGGCGTCGTGTTGCCACGTGCCGGCCTTCATAAGGTGCTCGCAAACAGCACTTGTCCCAACAGTCTGTTGAGGCTATACGGGGATCTTTGTAATTGCACGCGCAATGCACCCCGCGGATTGTCTGCCTCTCCACGCTCCTCTCTCCTCTCTACTCCTCCGTGTTTACCAACTCGCTCCAGTCAAATGCAAATCGCGTGTAGTGCACGACCCGCAGTGTCTGCAACAGTAACCAGACGCAACGACGAACACCGTGTTGTGTGTTCTCCCCTCCTGTATTGGGATTTAATGGTTGTGTGTGTGGGGTGGGGGGGTAATTATAGTGGATTATGGCAGGCAGGGGTGGTTGTGGAGTCGGTTTGAAAGGGTAGGCGAGTCTGATGATTGTGTATGAAGAACACATTCTCTTGTGATGGTGCACAAGTACAAAAACCGCGTCGTCGGCCTTATGAGTAAATATGCATATAATAGGCGACGGTTCGGGCAACGAACCCCTTCTTCAAAGCACGTGAAGTTACGGCCTTTGCGAGTAAGAGTAATGAAAAAGAGCCATCGTCCGAAAAATCGCCTGTCACATACGTGTCCTTTTAAGGCCACGCAGTCTTAGTGACGAGTGCTGTTGAGTTTTTCGCGCTCTGTTCTAGATCAGCGAATGAGAACGGCGTGGCCAACAAAGCCATCAATTAAAAGGCATCGCTCTGCAGCAGCGGTCGCTGGTTGTTTTTTTGTGTCATTGGTAACAAGAAGAGTTAAGTTGGGGAGCTTCCAGCCGGCGCCACGCATGAGTAGCGACCAACTTTTGCGGGCGTGCTAACGCGCGTCAAGCGCAACTCGTTCGAGCCGTCCCCGCTCATCAATCAACAAACCTCTACGGGATGCCAGCCGCGCGCTGTGTTAGTGTACATTCGTGCGCTGTTTCACACAGTGCGCCCTTTGCATTTGTAGCCGAACGGAGAAGATGTGTGTGCGTGCGTACGCGCGCGTCTGTACCGTAGTGTTATCGAATAAGAAAGTGGACGATAGCACGGCAGTGAATGGGGGGTGGGGGTAAGCGTGTCGAGTGCGTTACCTCTGGCTGTCAGCGACATCTTCAGACGGTCACGGGCTCAAGCGGAGTCCGCGGCGTAACTAACACACCACCACCACCACCCGTGTGGCGCGGCGTAACTAACACACCACCACCACCACCCGTGTCTCGCGTCGCTCCCTGCGTTGTCGTCGCTGGCGGTGTTTGTTTATTTGGCTGTTTGGCTCACGGCAACACTCGCCCCGGACTCTTGCCGCTGCTACCGCCGCTTGCTCGGAGTCGGAATGCACCGCCGGCGAGAAATTCCTCGACGTGGACGTGGGGGGACGTGGAGGACGTGGGGGGACGCGTGTGGACACGTGTGGACGTGGGTGGACGTGGGGGGACGCGTGTGGACGTGGGGGACGCGGGTGGACGTGGGGGGACGCGTGTGGACGTGGGGGGACGTGGGGGGACGCGTGTGGACGTGGGGGACGCGTGTGGACGTGGGGGGGACGCGTGTGGACGTGGGGGGACGTGGGGGGACGCGTGCGCGCCTGGTGCGCGCGGAGCCGAGCGGAGCGTTCGACGGCAAAAGAACCCCAAAACCCCCTCGCCCACACGACGAACCTGCTGCAGCGCGCGTCTCGGCGTACAAAAGAGGAGACAAGCCGGGGATGGGAGGGCTCTGTGACCTACACGCGCCGGTGGGTGGTGCGAGGCGAAGGAGGAGGAGGTGGTGGTGGTGTGGGGTGGAGGCTACGGCCGCTGCCAAGGAGTGTCCCGACGATCCCCGTTTCGTGCCGTGCGTTGTGGGGAGCGGTGGTGTAGCGCCACGAAAACCCTGCGACACGAGTTCGAGACCCGCTCAGAACCGGTCCTGGGCATCCCCTAGGTCGACTCAGCCTTCAATGAATACCTGGTGCGGTGTGTAAACGTCGCCAGTAGGGCGACAGTGGCGGGCGGGCGTGATGGTGCTGGCCACCCACCCCGTGTGCCGTGCCGACTTTCGCAATGTGCTCGCTAACAGCACTTGCCCCAACAGTCTGTGAAGGCTACACGGGGGGGGTTCTATCTTTGTCTTTATGTGTGTCACCCCTCTCTGCGTGCGTGCGCGGCTCGAGGCGACGGGGCGCGCCTCCACGCAAACTGAGACGGACACGAGCGGCGTTGGCCACCGAGTGAAGGAGTGGAGTGAGTCGGGGCTTAGCGCCCTTGCACCGCGGACCTGGCGGTGGCCTGGGCGTCCCCTAGGTCGACTCGGCATCAAATGAGCACTTCTGGCGCGGCGTGTAAAAGCATCGCCACTCTTTGGGGAGGCAAAGGTGGCCACACCATCCGCCTCGTGTGCCCTGCCGGCTTTCGTAAGGTGCACGCATGCAGCGCTTGCCCCCAACAGCCCGTCGAGGCTACGCGGGGGATCTTTGTCTTTGTTGCGCGGTGTTGCTGGAGAGCGGAGGAAGAAGGAGGCGGCGCCGGCTGACGCGAGGGGCCAATAGCGTGCGGATCTAGCGCCGCGTGTGGACACGCACGGCGCACGTGGACACAGGTGCACGCACACACGGTGTGGACACCCACGCCGCACGTGGGCACAGGTGCACGCACACAAGGTGTGGACACCCACGCCGCACGTGGGCACAGGTGCACGCACACACGGTGTGGACACCCACGCCGCACGTGGACACAGGTGCACGCACACAAGGTGTGGACACCCACGCCGCACGTGGACACAGGTGCACGCACACAAGGTGTGGACACCCACGCCGCACGTGGGCACAGGTGCACGCACACACGGTGTGGACACCCACGCCGCACGTGGACACAGGGGCACGCACACAAGGTGTGGACACCCACGCCGCACGTGGACACAGGGGCACGCACACAAGGTGTGGACACCCACGCCGCACGTGGACACAGGTGCACGCACACACGGTGTGGACACCCACGCCGCACGTGGACACAGGTGCACGCACACACGGTGTGGACACGCACACAAGTCTGATTATAGGTACAGTGCACGCGCGTGTGAGCACACATAACTGCGAACACAAGCCACGCGTATAAATGCTCGCGTGAATGCGGACACTTGTGAACCGACCATACCTGTAAACCCCTTATCAGTGCCCTATCGTATTGCAGACCAATTCAGGCCTTATTGGTCACCTCGTGCCGTTATAAATGTCAATGTTCATCCTACAAAGCCCTATCACAAAGGAGAAACACAAACGGTTGTACGCCGTATGGACCTGAAAACTCAATTTCCTTGTACAAGAATACGGGTAAACCGTATGGGTTCACAGGTATTGGTACCTTATACCGGTAGGAACCTCCTGGTCACACCAGCAGCCCACAGGGGATCATTGTGTCCGTCCGTCGTGCATCCAAAAATGGGAGGGGTGGGGCTGTGTGGAGAGGGGAGGGTGGGGAGGGAGGGGCTGGGTGGGGAGGGAGGGGCTGGGTGGGGAGTGGAAGGGAGGGAGGGGCTGGGTGGGGAGGGTGGGGAGGGGCTGGGTGGGGAGGGTGGGGCTGGGTGGGGTGGGGCTATGATGGGAGGGGCTGGTCACCCCGTGGTGCCCTTATAAAACTCAACGTTTAACCTACTCACGCCGGCTTGTGCCCGCCCTCACAGTCGGGCATATTTGCGGAATACACCACGTGGTGCCGCCGTTGACCCTGGCCATTGACCGAGCAACCCAACGTTCCTACCAGCCCCCTCCGCAGGAATGTGTTTACTGACGAGGTAGAAAAACTACTCGGAGGAGCCCTCCTCCAGTGCTGTTAGGGAGCACACCTTAAGGTCGACACGTGACTTAAAATATATAAGATTGCGTGTTCGTCCCATTAACTGGGTTCTCATGACAATTGCTGTGTTATGGTTACGAGTGGAATACTTTATTTCATGAAACGCAGGTAAAGTTTAAAAGGAAATAGCGGAACTCCAAACTGCCTGAATAAAAATAGGCCATGAGCATATTGTGATTCCAGATCAATGCCGTCAAGTTGCATTTGTATAACGGTTAAATCAGTGCTATCGATTTCACGAACCCTGTTTACACGAAGAAATAGCATTTATTCGAGAAAACATTGTCGATTGGAATGCAACGATTGTGTGGGTGGCTACGAACACCCACGCAAAACCCTGCTGTAACTTGTACGTGAAGTGCGTTCTTCTGTAATAGGACACAGAGACTCTAGGATGAGAGAGCAAATGCAGTCTCGCTATGCGGGATGCAACTCGGACTGGTCTGTATCAATAATTCGTCACATCACATCTGCATGGCAATTATCATCAGAACTCGATTCCGCCTCTTCACATATAAATGAGATGTTGTTTTAGTCCATCAGCCCATTGTCTTTCTCGGTCAAAAATAATATTAAGCAGTAAACTGAGACCGGTTGTCGTTCCCCTGGGTCTCATCAGCACAGTCAGGGTTCTTCATCAAACGTTGTTGAATTTCCATATGCGATTTGGCAAGAGCACTCCATATAAAGAATACTTCCATGATTATCCACGGTGATACGCAACGCTGAGTTTGTGAACGGTTTCATCCATTGCCTTGCAGTCATCGAATGAAACTTGTTTTTTGTTTACCTCACATACCTACCTTTATCAGGTGCTTTCAGTTACTGATCAGTTATTTTCGTACTTTTGTTTTATGTTATGCTGTCTTGTGTTTTCAAATATTTTTATATAAATATTTAATACATATTTTAATGTTGAAGCAATTTTCAGTTTTAGCTAGACCTATGTCGAGCTAACTTACGATGGTTAATAACGTGTGTAGTTGTTGTTCATAAACTGGCCCCACCACGGTCTCAGGGCAGAGATGGGCAGTGTATAAATTGCATGTACTTTACATTAGCAGTTGGTATCTAAATTATACACCTCCAAGTCATTGGTCATTTGTATCCAAATTATATCGTATCGAAACGAATTTTCTTCACATAACTTGTAATTTGAATATATTTTGCACAACTCTGCCTCAGGGCCACCACAGATATAAGCATTATCCCATTGCTCATTCGAGCATCAGGATATTTTTTTTTTATAATGTATTGACAATGAGCTATGTACGACCTATCACTTTTGACCTAGGTCAAAAACAGCAAAATATTTTACTCCATTCTTATAAGGATTTTATGTAAAAAAATTCCTTTACAATTACTTTTAAAATATTTAGATGGGAATTTGTGGAAAAAAAATTGTCTCTGGGCACTGGGAGGGTATTCAACTATGAAATTCCACAGGTATTTTCGAGTACGCTATATCCAGTGTGCACAATGAGATCTACGAACCATTGTGCAAAGCTCACGGATACCATGTGTGTGTATCTGCAAAACATTTACTGGGTCACGCTTTGTGAAGGGGCCTTTGCTACAGACGTCAAACCGAGCTGTGGTGGAGGTACGCTGTTTAAATAAGAGCCACTAAGAGAAGTGAATTGCCTTGGTTGTGTTGAGTTATAGAGACAGAGTGCTCTACCTTACACCACCCGCACCTGTGCATGTGTGAAATCGCAACCCTATTGTTGGTGCACGGCATGCTTGGCAGGTTGGTGCTTCACAACGCATAGTCCCACGTGCATTTTCACCCCCTCCGTGTCCATTGCTATTGTGACTGACGTGTAATTGTTTAATATCCAGGTGTAAACGTGTTCCTTTTGACCTCTGTAGCAAGTTAGAGATTAACTTCCTTTTGATTCTAGATTTAAAGCTTTCGTGACTGCAAGGATCCATACTCTTTGGTTCTATTTGGTAAAGTCACGTAGGTAAAAAATAAAACAACAAAAATCACGACGTTTTGGCCATGACACAAGTGGCCTTCATCAGGTGAAGGGACCAGACTGTCTCGAGGACAGCGCTGGAGTGAACACAGCCAAGCTCAGACCGCGACCTTTAAGCTGTGTCAGAGGAAACAGAGCACCTTGACAAAGGAATTAGCATAAAATTAGCATTTAATTGGCGGACTTAGCATGATGAACGATGTAGAGGGGATGAACATGTGCAGGTTGGCGAGGGAGGGAGGGGAGGGGGGAGTTTACATATTGATGTTGTGAAAAGGGAATTTAAGCAGCTGCGAAAGTTTGGGATACCACTACTTGAAAAAATATACTGTACCATTGAAAATTAGTTCAATGTTTGGTTTGATTCAGAACATCTTTCCAATGGTTGCTTAATTTGAAACCATCCTCTCGGTTGAAATTGTGTCTGTGTTTGTAAATCTGAATTGCCTCGTGAACAAATCTATGATAAAAACCCGTGGGTTTGCAAATAACCTTGGTATCGGAGAAAATTATATCGTGATCACCCACAGTGTTGTAATAGTGATCAGCTACGGCAGAAGAATTCGT